TCTACACGGCCGTCGACTACACTAAGTAAGTTGCCATAGGTTGGGCTAGTTAGGTGGTTGTGCTGTAGTTGTTGTGTGAGATCAAAGTCTACACGGCCGTCAACTACACTAAGTAAGGATGTTACAAGCTGTGTTCTTTATTATGTAATTGTGCTGTAGTTGATATGTGTGGTTTTGTGGTTAGAGTTAAATAGGTATGCAGTGGATGAAACATTGCGTAATACTTAAATTACAAAACGGACTTACTCGTCCATTAAAGGATTTATTGAAACTAAAACAGAATTGACTTAAATGAGGAAGTGGGGTAGTAGATGAAAACAATCTGTCAAAATCATGGACATTGACCCACCCTGTTCAAAACCAGAGGCGTAGCAACCCTTCCCGGCGCCCGGGGACAAATTTTCAATTTGCCCCCCCCCCCCCCTAAAACTTTCCATTTGCACCCCCCCCCCCCATATATTTTTTATATGTATAATGCAAAACTGCAGCTAAAATGAGAGTTTACTTTGTTTTTCCAACCCATTTTGACTCCCTCTAAGGTCGGCGCCCGGGGACATATGTACCCCCCCCCCCCGCCCCCTCTCTCGCTATGCCTCTGGTCCAAACCATTTTGAAAAATATACCATTATAATTTCCTATGTACGAAACGATTTTTTTATCTAAAAAGCTAGGGTTGAATACATTCACATTATCACAGTCGAGCGGCTTTTTATTTTTTCCTCAGCTTCGGCACCCAATACGACGATCGTTTGTCTGTCCACATTAGAATAGGCGAGGAAAATCACTACTATCAAATTTCTAATGGAGTCCCTACCAACCTAAAGGTGGGCTTAAATGTATTAGACAATTATAATTCTAAAATCCGGCATCACATCTGCTTGGGGGTCATCCATAAATGACTTCACGCTTTTTTTACGATTTTTACCTCCCCCCGTCCCCGTCCCCTCCGTCACACGTCGTCACAAAAAGCCATGCCCCCCCCCCTAAATGACGTCACAACTCAGCCTACAACCCCCCTCAAAATTGCTGTTGAATTTTTCTTAAAAGCATATTTTTCCAAAATCTTGTCAGAACTCTGTCAAGATAGAGTATTTTGATCCTATTACAATTTATTAAATCCGTTTTCTAAAACGCGAAATAACTGCTAAAACTCGTTTTCTAACATTGCTTTTTTTATAATTCAAAAAAGTGACGTCACACCATCTGAACCCTCCCCTCCCCCTCATCACACACCGTCACAAAATTACGGACCCCTCCCCCCCTTACGAGTGTGACGTCATTTATGGACGACCCCCTTGTACATTACAACTCATTTTATGGTTTAATTTTTAATTATGTGCTTAACATTTTTTTTTTATGTCCAAAATTCAAATAACTAAATTTTAAATAATCAAGTTTTTTTTTTCATAACTAATATCTAAATATCCAAAATTGCAAAAAAAATATCTAAATCAGAGTTTCTTCCTGGCTTCTCTTAGTGTGTGTGTGGGGGGGGGGGGGAACTCTGAACGAAATGGAATTTATATAGAAAACATATACTGTTACTAGTGTCTGCCCCCCCCCCCCCTCCCAATATCAAGCGCCCCCCTCCCCCGGAGAAAAACGTCTGGAAGAAATACTGATCTAAATTGAAATAATCAAAATTAAAATAACAAAAATCGAAATAACAGAAACTAAACCAACCAAATCTTAAATTAACCTAACGTTTAACAGAGGCGTAGCGACCCTTCCCGGCGCCTGGGGACAAACTTTCAATTTGGTACCCCCTCGGGAGCAAACTTTCGATTTGCACCCTCCCCCCTCAAACTATTTATAATGCAACAATGCATCTAAAATGATATTTTAACTTGTTTTTCCAACCCATTTTGCGCCCCCTAAGGTCGGCGCCCGTGGGACATATGTACCCCCCCCCCCGCCCCCCCCCCCCCCGCCCCATCACTACGCCTCTGACGTTTAAACAACCGAAACGTACCGATCTAAATGTTATTCCACAGGACAACTCCAAACTCGCCCTCAACAGAATCGGGGACGAGGCCACCTATGTCAAGAAGTCGAGCGAGGGCGTTGAGGAATTCGGTCTGCTCTACAACACAGTTCAGAAAAGATGGCGGATCAAAGCTTGTGGTGGGGAGGTGGTTTTCAGAGAGCCTTACAACGACGGCGTTTTAGTTCAGGTGGGATTTTTGCAGTAACACTTATAATTAGGTGCAGACAAGATGTGCAGCTATATTGAAATATGTGGTTTTATTCGTCCTGAACGGCATTTGTTTTAATAGGCTGGATGCGTAAGACCACATTGTACCAAACACATCATTTGCAAAAAGTAATACACCATGACGAAAAGTTTCAAACTTTCGTATTTTACAAAATTTAGAAAAATGTAATACAAACTGTTGTTTTTTTTTACATTTATATAAAGGTGAAATTAACAACATTAGTCTTCTTTTCTTTTATTCATTTTGTCACTGTTTTTCTTTATTTTCTAGTATTTTAATAGTATTTTAATAAGTAAAAATCTATACGGCTGTTTGTTTGGTGATATTTTTTTGTGGAAATATAGTTTACCAACATTTCTTCGTAAATCCAGGAGAAACATAAAATGCTTGGTACTGCTGTAATTTAATTTTATCCTTACAACATTTTCCCTGAGCAGGAGAAATCCCACAAGGATCTGTGTGATTTAATTTTATCCTTACATTACTTCCCCTGGGCAGGAGAAATCCCCCAGGGATCTGTGTGATTTAATTTTATCCTTACATTACTTCCCCTGAGCAGGAGAAATCCCCAGGGATATGTGTAATTTAATTTTATCCTTACATTACTTCCCCTGGGCAGGAGAAATCCACAGGGATATGTGTAATTTAATTTTATCCTTACATTACTTCCCCTGAGCAGGAAAAATTCCCAGGGATCTGTGTGATTTAATTTTATCCTTACATTACTTCCCCTGAGCAGGAAAAATTCCCAGGGATCTGTGTGATTTAAGTCTATCCTTACATTACTTCCCCTGAGCAGGAGAAATCCCCAGGGATCTGTGTGATTGCTCCCCCTGAGGACATTGTTGGCTCAGTGGACAGCGGCAACATCTGCAACCTGAACGGCAAGTACCTGGTCGCCCCCTACACCTCCACCACCTCCAAGCTACTGGCTGACATCGTCCTGGGCTACGAGAACATTCCGGGTGTGGTCAACCTGGAGTAAGTCCAGTTCTAGACCTATGTCCTGTGTTGTTTTCTTTTTTTAAGTTAGAATGGGTTGTTGTTTTGTTTTTTTTTTTTGTTTTTTTTCAAATTTTGTTACACTATCAGTTCCGACTTTTTTTTTGTCGTGCACTTTTTTTTCAAAATTAGCACACAACAAAATATTATCATTCAGCAAGTAATTTTAAGGATATTTCATTAATAAATAGCAAATATAAATAGCTAACTGGCAAAAATATATCTCCATACTTTGCAGTTCTATTTGCCATGGAAACCATGAAAAATATTTAATACGTTTTTCAAACATATTTAAATATTTTTAAACCTCTGTAAATATATTTACCCAAAAATTAATTCCGATCTAAAAAAAAAAAAATATCACATTGCACATACGAAATACTACATTTGTTTAAAGTACAAATCTTAAATTTAAAAAAATTTCTAGCAAACTTTTTTTTTTAAATAATAACCTACACAATCAAAATCCATATCTCACCAACACCCCCACCCCCACCCTACCTCCCCCAGCCCCCAGCCCATACGACAGACCTGCACCGACCTGGCCGGTGTGTTCCTGACCTGCAGTGTGGACAAGAGGGTCGAGGCCCTGGACAAGTGCTCGGCCCTCATCTCCAGCCACAGGGAGCGGAAGTGTTTCTATGACAACCACGGCGCCGACATCACCGAGGGGTTCAAGGACTGCGTCAGTGTCGTCTGCAACAAGGACCAGGACGCGTGAGTACACATTTCAGACTAACGGTGTCTTAGTGAGTTGTGTGGTCGTGTGGCAGGATACTACTTACATAGCAAGAGAATTGGGTTCAAAAAGCCAACTCGATTCATGCAGAACGTGCACCGTCAAAACGACCCAGGACAAAATGGCCTCGTCAATATGACCCCAGACCAACGGTTTCTTAGTGAGTTGTGTGGTCGTGTGGGAAGTTCAGAAACGTAAAGAACTTTTCCGGTGCCCGGAGCGAACTATCAATGCCCCCCCCCCCCCCCACTCTCCGTCTCAATTATACACTGTTCTTCAGGTTAGCAAATAAAAACACCCCCCTCCCCTCCAGTTTGGAAAGTTTAGTGACGCTTTTTTCCAGTTACTTTCATGTGACTTTTTTTGTCCCATAATTGATTTGAAAAACAGTTCATAAAACCAAGTAGTTGTTTATTTCCTTAACGTCGACTCTGTATAATTACGTAATGCAGCTCAGAATAAGGTGGGTTTTTTTACCCTGTTTGGCCGCCCCCTCCCGCAGTTTCCTTGAATGCACCTCTGAACAATGTACTTTCCATCACAATCCATACTATCCCATCCTTCTTTCAAATGACCCCCTTCATACCATTTTCATTCTCTCGATCTTCCTTTTTTTCCCCGTGGGATTCACTCTCCCGCGCCTTTATCTTGATGGTATAAACTGTTATTTTAAAATGTGCTCTAACCATCCATACTTCCTTTCATAACATGACTTTATCCTTTGAAGCCATTGTGAAGCAAAGGTCTGCAACTACACCTCTCCATCTGTTCAGGGCAGTTCAGAGGCGTAGCGATGGGGGGCAGGGGGGTACATATGTCCCCGGGCGCCGACCTTAGGGGGCGCCAAAATGGGTTGTAAAAACAAATTGAAATGTCATTTTTGCTTCATTTTTGCATTATAGTTTGAGGGCTAATCGAAAGTTTCAGGGGGGGGGGGTGCAAATCGAAAGCTTGAGAAGGGGGGGGGGGTGCAAATTGAAAATTCGCTCTCGAGGGGGGCGCCAAATTGAATGTTTGTCCCCGGGCGCCGGGAAGGGTCGCTACGCCTCTGGGGCAGTTCTCTTTAGTTGGGCCCACGTCACTTCCTTTAAAAAACCTACGATATCTTTTTAAACTTAGACTAAATCCGCAACAGCTTTCATGTAATAAATACGTTCGTTAAAATAAATTACCATTAATCAACGATTACAAATTTACCACATACAGATCTTATCACAATGTTAACGATATAAATATCGTGTCTACTTTTTCAGCTGTTCCCGATTGGAGTCAAGCCCAGCAGTAAAAAATTGTCTGAACAATCTCTCCGCCTGTCGTCAATGGCTGTAGTCACGTGATTGGGGCGTCGCACGTGGTACTCTCCACACCAACCACACGTCAACAAATAAACAACTCCAGAAAACTTAGAAAAAAATAATGATTTTTATTTTTATTTTATGACGAAGTGTCAATCAATATTTATGGTGATTAATTACAATACAATTAAAAATAATGGTATAATCAATACTTGATTATTTTAATATTCAAAAACGGTCACAAATTTCAAATTCATTAAGTGAAATAAATAAAAGACGAGTTGGAATTTAAAATGTATTGTGTTTTGTAATATGTAGATGTACATCTCACTATGGAACGGCGTGGCTTAGCGGTAGAGAGCTAGACTGCTAACTCAAAAGTCTCAAGTTCTATTCCGGGTTCAAGTCAGTAGAACGTCCCTGAGTCCACCCAATCAACACCAAATATAACAACAGAACTTAGCCTAACTCTACCTTATCAAATATGCCTTCCCTCTACTAGCTAACACACAACAAAGCGCTTGCTGTATTGCTCTGATCAGAGCAAACTTCCCCGAAACTAGACCACGACGGTAGGGGGGATAAAATGGGTGGGGCGGGGGGGGCGCTTCAATATGCCTAAACTTACAACACACTCCTCTGCCCCTCCCCTATATATTTATGTCACCTGACCTGTTCTTATCACGTGACATGAATTAAGAAGCCGCTCTGATTTAATATTTGGGGGTAAAAAAACTTCAATTTATATCTAAAAACTAAGTATCTAAGTTTTGTTGTATTCCCATGGTCACTGAGTTTTACGGTCGAATTAATATCTAAGTTTTGTTGTATTCACATGGTCACTGAGTTTGACGATCGAATAATCTATATTTATATAATTCTCTTCTGGGAGACGCTAGAAAACAAGCTGTAAACGCGCTCCCTCCAACCCCCACCCCTACATGGTCTGGTGAGCTGTGGTTCACTCTAAATGTTTACAAACAGAGCCGGGTTTAGTGACGACTATTAGGGGCAGATAATTTAGTTTGAAACGATTTTAAACGTAGGGGGTGGGGGTAACTAAGTGGAGTTTACTTTAACGGAGGGGGGGGGGATGAGGGGGGTATCGTCCTTAACGAGCTACTTATAGTGTTTTAAAGAAATATTTTCAGTGGCAGCGTTAGTAGTGTCGAATTTACAAATTATGAATAACTAAAAAGTAGAAAAACAACAACTAAATAGCGGTCTAAGTTCTATTTCGTTACATTCGCACTGATCACTGTGGAGGAGTTTCACTGTATTCAAACATTTCAAAATCGGCCCTAAACCGTTCCTGAATCGCCTTGATAAGAGGACCGGAAACGCTCTTGTACGCCTGACATAAATATTTCCGCCTCTGCTTGTTCGACTCCGTTCTGCTCATCGGCTTTGTGTGAACAAGATCAGTCAACCTTGTCATCACAACATCTCTAGAATATTCCTCCAAGTTTTCCGGAAACTCGGAACTTTCTCGAATGTGTCCGTTAATCTGGAACACCTTCCACATCCTTCTGGCGAGATCTTTGATACTTAAACATTGAGTTAAATTAAGATCCGAATACAGCTGGTAGTAATCGTAGAGGATCGATCTCATCTCGGTTTGGGTGTAATTCGCGAAATCGAATCCGTCGAGAAGATGGCTGAGATTGAACTGGCTGAGTATGTACATCGAATCTGAAGAGAAAGTCTCGACTTTACCGATATAAATAGGTTGAAACACGCAAGGGTTGCACGTTTCAGAGACGGGTCTCACGTGACCGTCCTTTGACGTCATAGCAAACGCTAAAAAATCGCTGAAGCTGATGTTGAGTAGACATACACTAGATGAGAACTCATACGAATTCCACGACCCGGGAAGGTAGTATTTGTCAAGGTAAACACTCCACAATCTTGCATACGGGTCCCGCGCGAAAAAAAATTTGGACGTGTCGGCATGCACTTCCTGTTTGAGAAGCGACCAATCCCCGTGTCCTTCCGGCGCGAGCTCGCTGTGCGCAGTGATGCGCATGACGTCAAAAGGCGATGTTATATTTAGACGTTTCATGTCTTCCGGTCGGGTGATGAAGCTGAACACGCGCGCCCAGAAGGTGCAGCCGGCTTTCGCCACGTGGCAGTACATCATTGTCTGGTTCGGGTCCTTGAAGACGGCCCAGGTGTTAAGCCCGGGCCCCAGGTTGTACCCCCAGTGGGCGTCGCACGCCGCCTTGACCACCGCCCTCCGTCGGGTCATCTCGTACTTGGTCCCCCAGTAGAGGCTTCGGCTTAAACTGAAATGTCGTTTGTTTTAAAATATTACTACGGCCTCAGCCGGTATGATGTAAGGGTAGTACTCAGATAATTGATAAATCTAGTCTTAAGATTTAACTCACGTTAGGGAAAGTAAAGGCGGCTGGGCATTGTGCTGAACATACTATCCCTTCATACCCCGAGGTCACAGAAACAGGTGAACTCTACTTCACTTGCACCATGGACCTTCAGACTCTCGAGAAGGGAACTTAGTCCAGATACCAGGCTCGAGGTCGTAAGACGTCCCTGAGTCCACCCAGCTCTGATGGGTACCTGACTCCTGTTAGGGAAAGGAATGTCGGTTGGGCATAGTGCTGACCACACTATCCTTTTGCAAGCCGAAATAATTGAAACAGGTGAACTCTACTTCACCTGCCCCATAGACCCATAGATTTGAAAGAGTACGCTTAGTCTAAGGATTAGGCATAAGCAAATTCAATTTTTTTTAATTAGCCCTACATGTAATCTCAGAAGTAAAACTTATTATCCGAAATTATTATTTTAATGACTCGTTAAACTAATTGCAGTGCTAGAACGTTCGAACAAGTATAACTAATTAATATTTCGTAATATAACCTTCCGCTTATTTTGAAGAGTTAGACATTTAATAAATTAGGTGACCTCAGCATGACCCTTAATCTAGTTACTCATAAGTGCCGAGTGTTTCGGCGACACCCGATAGATTTCTGAGACTTTTCTCTTATAAACAGAACCATAAACAAATAATTATGTATAAGAATCACTAAATTCGACGTAATCTACAACATTTTGAATCTACACTGGTTATTGTAAAAGCCGGGGCTTTATAGGTATATGAGAAAAATCCTCTAGAGAAATGTTCGGTATGCCTATTTTAACACGATACAAATATTTTTTTTAAGTAGTGTTAGAATAGATGTTCAAAGGCAGTCGCTTACCTCAATTGAATTTCTCCTTGGCGAATCTGAAAAATTAAATAGTTTATTATAGGCTTGCACTAACATTCTAAATAACATATATATATACATATATATATATATATATATATATATATATATATATATATATATATATATATATATATATATATATATATATATATATATATATATATATATATATATAAAAGTAAAGTTTCCCTTTCAAACCTGACGGTCTATGTAGCAAGTGAAGTAGAGTTCACTTGTTTCTGTGACCTCGGCATATGAAGGGATAGTGTGGACAGCACTATGCCCAGCCGCCTTTACTCTCCCTAACGTGAGTTAGGTACCCATCAGAGTTGGGTGGACTCAGGGAAGGTCTACTGACTTGAACCCGGATTCGAACTCGAGACAGTCCAGCTATCTACCGCTAGACCACTCCGTCCCCTATATATTAATATATATATATATATATATATATATATATATATATATATATATATATATATATATATATATATATATATATTAATATATATATATATATATATATATTACTAAACACGGATAGACATTAGAGATAGTGTTGACACTTTTACTTATCGTACATAATGACACCCAACATAGTATTGCCTCTCCTTAAACCTTATAACAAATTCTGCATCAGTCTGTACTAAAAAAAATCTGTGCAAACTTCATCTTCAATTAATTGAACAAACTCTTATTTCGTCAATAAAATTTGCGATATTTTTTATGGTGTATTACCCTTTCCGAATGCTGTCACCTTATCGTATTGTCTGCCCCTACCACCCCCCTAGTGCACTACTGGATCCAAAAACACTTAACTGCACAAAACTATTATTTCCCTTAAACTTGCGTTATCTGCCCCTGAAAGTAGTCACATAAAATACACTGTACCTGTTACACCTGCCGAGCCCCACATTGATTGCAACCACAGTGCAAACGTCGCCAGCACACAGATAGGTAATAATTTGAGAACCCTCCTATATCTCATATTGACGACCAACTGTTAGTATCATCTGAGTTATCCAACCTACGAACAAACAGATTTCACGATATGTATTAGGCACTTGGTAGAATGTACAAAAGGCAAAATAAACTGATTGTATGGGCGGTCAAGGCGTAGCTCTAATTTTATTCTCTTGTAAGTCTTCTTGTAAATATAATATGTGCTAAATATATGCATATATTTAGTATTCGTAAATTGGTAAATATAAGCTTCTATTTACTATTCGCGACATACTAAATACATGTTTATTTTTCTATTCGTGGTATGCTAAATATATGCTTTTATTTACTATTCGTGGATCAAATAAATAGTCATGATGTATAAGGTACACACAGTTTTAAAGCGAAATACAATTTAGCAATAGTTATAGAAAAATATTTTACCTGTTTTGAATTATTTTCTTACCGCTTCTTTAACGTTCTTTTGCGCATGCGTATTTAAATGATTTGATACTAATTCTAATTGCAATTGTATATGGATAGCGATCTTTTTAAACCCTAAGATATTGATTGTCTTTTTCCCCACAAAACATATAACTCTTCAGTTTTGATGGGTGTGGGTAGAGTGTGTGTGGGGGGGGGGGAGGGAGGATTTTCCTAAAATAATACTAGTCGAGCGATATGCACAGTGTAGGTATGAAAAAAAACACAAAAAAGTATACTTCCGTATCTGCGCGTATTGAGTGTGTAAGCAGTGTTTCTTCCAGTAGTTCCAGGCATCTCTTCCACGAAGTGAGTCTACTCCCCCCCCCCCCCCCGAACGAAATGGAAATTATATATAAAATATATGCTTTTAATATTGTCCGCCCCCCCCCCGAAATTTTCCGCTCCCCCCCCCCCCCCCGGAAATTTTTCGACCCCCCCCCCCCCCCCCCGGAAAAAAAGTCTTAAAGAAACACTTTGTGTAAGAGAACGGAGTGAAGGAAGGGGGAGGGGCGGAGTGATATTCCAAGTTACACTCTCAACCATTAAAAAAAGTTTTAAAACACGAACAGCCAAGCGAGTTAACAAGGGTGTAAAAACGAATTAATCAAATAAATAACAACATTTATATGTACACAAAGTTAATCAGAAGCCGCACACAATGGCCTTAATCTTAGCTGATATTTACAAGATTGGAACTAATCGAAAATAATCTCGAAATTATTCGGTTGTTTAGATTGTGTCAATTGAAAATGCACATTAACATGACAAAACTAAGCCATGTGATTTGAAAAAGTATAATTTATTTCACAAAAAAATGTATCGGCAAAGATTTCTGTTCAAATTACTAGAAGGTTAAGAAAGTAGTGTTGTCAGAAAATCGATCACGGAGTTTCTTTACAGCTAATCAATGCTTGTCTTACCAAAGTGAAACATTTTAGGCTTGATGAAAATAATAAATGTATTCTTTAACACACAACAATATTTACAACTATTTATATCACTGATACTTATAATATTATTTTTTTTACATTTTTTTTCAAGCTAAAATTTTTTTCTATTGATTTTCTTTAGATAAATTGACAAAAAAAAACTCATAAAAAACGTTTTAATAACAAGCTTTTATGTAATAATGCACTAAAAAGTAGAAAATAAATTATTTTCTTTAAATATATATATATACATATAATACACTACTATTTAAATAAATGTAAAGAAAAGCGTGGGTCACTTTATTATCTATTGCAAACCTTTACTAACCTTTGGGGTCATCCATAAATGACGTCACGCTTTTTGGGCGATTTTTACCTCCCCCCTCCCATCAGTCACACATCGTCACAAAAAGCCAGACCCCCCCCCTAAAATGACGTCACAACTCAGCCTACAACCCCCCCCCCCCTCAAAATTGCAGTTTAATTTTTCTTAAAACATCGATATTTTTCCAAAAATCGTGTCTGAACGCTCTCAGCATACAGTATTTTAATCAATTCCTATTACAATTTATTAAAACAGTTTTCTAAAACGCAAAATAACGGATTAAATTCGTTTTCTAACATTACTTTTTGTTTATATTTTTATATTGTATAATGCAAGCCTTACTAACATTTATGACCACCCCTCCCTCCCCCTCTTATTATACACCGTCACAAAATTACGGACCCTCCCCTCCCCCATACGGGTGGGATTTAGTAAGTGGAAGACCCCCTTAGTACTGATACAGTCGAGGATAGTGCTCTACCAAAATTCCACTCAATGATACTGACTGTGTCTCCTTTAACTAAAAACTGGAATCTACACACCCACTCGTTTTTAGAACTGTGCAATATAGATCTAGCAGTTAAAAATCTCCCTTCAAATTGTATTTCTTTCTGGTCCAAAGAAAAAAAAACGCATCTGTGCGAACACGAGGGAAACATGATTAGCACAAACAATAAAATCAGGGCTACATTTGATACGGTTAGCCGGCAACAACAGTTTTTTCTTATCAGGAATAACAACTTTTTAAATCGATAAACGTGAATTTATCAATAATTTTGCTTAAATTTAATCTAGCTCTTGACATTAAGAAGGATTAAGATTAATACAGGATTTAAATAGCTATATGGTTAAAAAAGCAAACTCGTTCATTCGGTAAAAGCTTTGAGGGGGGCGATCAGGGTTAAAAAACACAATTTATATCTCTAGGTGGGCGTCATAATGAGTAGAAAAAAACAATTTAAATGGGTCCCATCAGGGGTAAAAAAAAAATTAAAATCTCTATGTGGGCATAAAACCAATTTAAATCTCTAGGTGGGCGCCATCATGGGTAGCAAAGTACAATTTGAATCTCGTTTTGAGTTGACTATTGAAATACACTCATTAGATATAAAAACAATATGGTATTTGAATGCCTGCTACACTAACCCCTCCCCCCCCTCCCCCCCCCCCACACCATCTCAAAAAGGCCACTCAATAGCCTTTTAGCTAATACCACCACCAGGGTTTCTTTCAGACATTTTCACCAGGGGAGGAGTACTTAAAACTTGATGGGGAGGGTGGACGTGTTTGACATAAATCATAGATTTTGTTTTATTTAGCCTGAGGGCGGGGCGGT